TCTCTCTCTCTCTCTCTCTCTCTCTCTCTCTCTCTCTCTCTCTCTCTCTCTCTCTCTCTCTCTCTCTCTATGTATCGTTTAATTAATGACTCTGTTAAACGACTTGAAGAGCTTGAGTTCGACTTTTTTAGTCGCATTTTTCGACTTAAGTATGCGCATATGTTTCTATATCCAATGTAGTCAGCAGTGAGCAGTGAAAAACGTTTGCTATGGATTCTTTCTTTTTCGCACAATCGAGATATTGCAACTCCAATGGGAAAAGTTTTTACTAGGCTAGGAGACTTACACATTTTTCTAGAAATCTTATTGTGAAGAAGAGGCAAAATGGAAAAATAATTATTCCAATGAATTATTAAAATTTGCTGTTTAGCGGAAAATTTAAATATAATTAATTGAGTGATTCCAATACACTCGGACTATACACTTTTAGAGCAGGAAAACAAGCCGAAAAGTCAAAGATATTTTTTACAGTGATATCTTTTCTTCTGAGTTTTATTCTTCCCGACGTGAAATCCATCTACGACTGTTTTGTCGTACACACAAATGCAAATTATATTTTTCCAGCTTTTGCCATTGGAGACGATCACATTTTGAGAGATACGATGCATGAAGGCAATGCACGAAGCGAATTATAGAAACGGCTCTAATTGGAAGTTGTATCAATAGTCGGAGGTCAAAGTGTATTAAGAGAAAGTAAGGAACGTGAGCAAAAAAGGAACAATAAGCGAGAGCGTACTTACACGAGGAGCTGTATTGCGCTGTGAACGAAATATTTATATTTTTACTTGGAAAAAAGCTACGATAACATTTGTAACAACTAACTCCCGCGTAACAAGTAATGTCCATGACGTTATTTTTCTAGAGTAAATATCTAAATAGTTATTATATTGCGTTATGGCGAAACGTGTTCTCAAACGATAAGCAGGCCTAAACGCGACTTTTTACGACGATAGACTTAATGCGTGCACAAGCATATTTGGCAAAAGAAACATACGTTTGTTGTTTATTTATCTTGTAAAATGGTGCTATATATTGTGCGTTATTAAAGTTATTCCGCAAAACTATATATCGAAATGTTCTGAATAGATCACGAATAATTTTCCTACATAATTCTTACTTATGTCGCAAATGCATTGTTGAAAGTTTTAAGTTTTACGGTTAAATCAAATCAGTAAGTTACATCACAGAGCTACGCTACGAGTAATTCAAGTATCGAAAAATCCATTTACACTTTTTTCCCCCGTGCCCGTATCGTTCTGCCAAGAGAGAGATGACTGTCTCCATATATCCCGTTAGTATTCGTGATTTTTCCAAAATGTACAATTACGTTAGTACTGAAACGTTTGCAATTTGAGTAGCATTATAGCGAGTTTTTTTCAAAAATAAGTCTGTCGCAATTGGTTTCAGTATTCTGAGATGAGAAAAATAAAAAAATAGAAAAGACAAGCGTATAGATCAAGTGGTCCATATTAATAAAAAACCGATACCTCTGAATGCCTTCGAATGATTTTACATACATGCATATGCATCTTGCAATTTATGCACTACGTATCCTTGGAATCGTGAGTCAATGCAGAAGGTCTTAACAAACAAATAGTACACCGAAGCATTAAAGAATATTTAAAATCCAGACACGGTCCCTCCGTCATGTCAAAATATCGTCGTGAACGATGTCAGCGGCGCCGATACGAACACATTAAAAGAATACAGATTAGTAATTAAAAAATTTCCGCTTAATATAATGGAATATAATTTAGCATCCGTGCGCGCGAGCGTACTATTAGGTGTACAACTTTGCTTCCGCCGTTTTTTTCCGAAATTAGAGGCTTTATTGTAAAAAACTGGTTATACATTTATGATTCAAAGTATTGTCCATCGCTGGCCACTACTTTCTCCCATCTTTCGGGCAGCGTACGAATCCCGCATCGAAAAAACTGGTCATCTTTTGAGGGGATCCACGAATCGATCCAATTTTTTACTTCTTCATAAGATCGGAAGTGCTAGTCAGCCAGGCCGTGTGTCATTGATCGAAACAAATGATAGTCAGAGGGAGCAACGTCTGGAGAATACGGCGGGTGGGGTAGGACTTCCCATTTCAACGTTCCCAAGTATGTCTTGACCACTTTCGCAATATGGAGTCGAGCATTGTCATGCTGCAAAATCACTTTATGATTTATCTATCATTACTCTCTCTCTGGTTAAATTAATAATTAATTTCAAATGTGTATAATTTCTGAATTTTTTTCTGCGTTAATTCTATTAAATTTACACAATAAAAATATTAATTTTAACCATTTCATTTCTCAAGCACTGTTGTCTTAATTCTTTTGCGATTTACGCGTGTGCATGTACGGTCGATGTTGATAATAATCAATGAAAAATTTATGACTTAGAAATCAGCTTTATTAACAGCCAAAACAATATCATCTTTCATACAAATAATCTTTTCTAAGAATATCTTACAAGAGCACACACATTATTTCACTTACACTTATTTCAATTACATGATAGATAAAATTTTTCTCTCTCTCTCTCTCTCTCTCTTTCATTCACACATACATACTCTCTTCCCCCTTTTCTCTTTCCTTCTTTCTCTCGCTTAATATGGAAATAACTCCAAATAATATAATTAATAATATATAAACGTATATTAGATATTATCATGTATCACATCATGCAGCACATTTACTTTGCAGGTTCTCAACAAATATAATATGAATTACATTTGTTGAGAGTAGGGTGATATTAATGATATCGTGTTGACTTTTGATCTAACAGAAGAGAGAAATCATGTAAATTAAATTTTGACGTACCAATGTCTTAGTACTTATACTTCATATCAAAGTTGTAAAAATTACCAATAAATTGCATAACTGCTCTATATATGATCTAATATACATACAAAAAGTCTGATATATAATCATAAACGTAGAGATGCAGAGCTCAATGTTTCATTCTGAATTGTATAAAGATGTTTATACTGGGCAACTCACTTATATATTTTATCCCATTTTGTGAGCATACAATCAAAACTGTTATATGAATATGCTTCAACAGCATATTCTATAGCTTGGTTAGAGTCGAAAAGATCCGAATACAAAAATGCCGAGATCACATATACACACACGTGCGTGCGCGTACCACGCACAAGAACGCATATTACTTTTGCAGTCATAGATGAAATCTACGATTTTCAATTGTATACATATGTATGTATACGATACGATAATAATACAAACATTAAGGCAATTGCGCCGGACGTTTATACTATACTCAACGTGCACGTTGAGTACCGATCTGTTGTACCGATGTATTACATGTATTATTGTGTTTTTCGTAAATGCTCTTTTGGAATCTCTTAATACATGTTAACAATATCAAATAATACAAGTTGATCAATCTATGAATCCATGCGATATCATTGACAAACTTTAGACTTTAAAATAAAAAAAAAAAAAAGATTTAGACTAAACTATTATATATTAATCTTGACATTTGTGTATTGGGATTTTTGACTTTACAGTTTTAGAGTACGCTGGTTAAAGTATTGATTTTGTTGATTTTATAATACTACGTGCGCACGTAACCTACATAAAAATTCATCTCGTGGTAAATATCAAAACTAGACAATGAAAAATAATATGAAGAAAAGGAGAAAAGAGGAAAAGGTTAGGATATTTTCATCGAGATTTTAGAAGACTCATATTGCAAAATTATACTATGAAAATAAACATATGTTTGTATATCGAATGTTGAAAAATTTACTCGTTTACCAATTCCGATTATAATTAATTCGTTCTAATTTATTAGTAAACTCTATATAGTAATTAATTACGAGAATCTCCATCACACCACGTGTTATAGTCAATTTATTCCGTTACAATTCATCTCGAAGTAACGTATACCTATTTTTGCTTGGCGCCAACTTTTTGAACGTAGATTCCGGTGGTGTTGTAAGCTGTTTCCCCGTAAGTTGTAGCACATCATTAGGAATGTCAGGACCATAATGAAACTCGCGATGAAGCTTCCCGGAGTACAAGTCCTGCAAGAAATCTTTGAGTTTCCCTTCCACGTGAATGTCTTTGAAATCCTTGAACATATACATGTGCCTAAAGCTATCTATTGCGATCAAAGGCAAGTCTGCTGGGCTTTTTCCTAAATGGTGCAGCGGATGTGCAAACTTCAAGCCATCGGCAGTTAAGAAATTGATGTTCTCTAAAAAGGAAAAAGAACGTGACGATAAGTTTTGGGAGACAATGTTGAGAAAAGTTATGGTTACGTAAGTAAGATAAGACGATACAACATACGTTTCTCGCTTATCAATGTTCTAGTTACGATATCTTTGTACAGCTTGACGCTTTCTACGTCATCGGGAGTATGAAATAGTATAAGGAACGGCAGGCCTTCTTCCGTTAATTCCTCTGCATTTTCAAACGTTATTTCTCTTACAGGAGGCACACACTTTTCTTGCGCCCACACGTTTAACTCGTCGTAATTGCTCAAACTTCCATTGTATGTTTCGTCTTCGTCGTTGGATAAGGCCTTATCCGACCGGAAGACAATGATAGCCTCTCCTGGAGGATGCAATGCTTTACTTGCATTCCTACACAATTGTAAAATCAATTAATCTTTGTTTGTATTTCATGTACTGATAATATGTTTACTTTGTTCATATAACACGGAAATATTTTGTCAAAAACAAAATTATCTTCAATCGATACAGTAGATCTCATCAAGTGTGCCTCTATGTAGCGCAACATAGTACATAATAAAAAAGATTAAAAAACAAATTCACAGAGATTTAATACAACAGGGTGAGAAACGGAGGGATGTAGGGAGAGGCGATAATTCACAAGTTTGTAGGTAACGTTTACTTACAGCAAATGAAAATGCTGTCCAATTTCACAGTTTTGATCGGAGCATGTGCTTGTTAAACGAAATTATATTATGATAATTATGATAAGATATATATATTACATATATACGGAAAAACACATTCTTACACTAAGAATGAGATGCTTTTGCATCCATATAAGTTTTCCCATAATTATCTTATATATTTTGAAAAAAGATGCGCGTGTGTGTCAAAAGTGACGTTGGTATAAAATTTATGGCTTAATAATATAACATTAAAAATAAAGAATGTCTTACCCAAAACCAACATGAAATTGGCAATCGTCTTTCAAATTGGTGGCAACTTTCCTGAACAATTCGTACTCCGCTATATCTTTTTTGTCAAAGTATCCTATAATCATACGCTTTTTATCGTCGAGTTCATTAAGCTCTCTCAAATCAAAGAATTCTCTGATAGGATCCTCCAGTTGTTTTCTGATAAATTCTTGAAATGCTTCCACTGATCGCTGTCCCCTATATTCTCTCTTAGATGGTTGACCATTCCTTATTACTTTTAACGTTGGATACTTGCTTATGTGAAACCTGGCAGCTACACCAGCTGTAACATAATATATAACAATATAAATTTAAGCTTTCTAATACATAAGTAAACATATATTTAAAAAAATAAATATTCCGATTCTTTGATTATCAATAGGTATAAATAATAGCGTTCTTATCTGGCACATCATAAATATAAAATTAAATATAAGAGACCCATTTTCAGTGAACTTGACCTTGACGTATATATATATGCTGTCAAAGACTTACTATCAAGTAATGCTTTCAACAGTTGCTCATTTTTTGTTAAAAAATTGCTAACAAATAAATGTTATCATATACAAGACTTAGGCTCAAGAGTAACTAATCATTGATATTTTTTTATAAATTTTATCGATCATATCTTACTCGAATCTTATCTAGTGGACTTTATTGATCCCTTTAGGATCCGTTATTTTAGTATATGTGATACTTATCAAGTTCAAGTAACACGAAAAATTCGAATATTTTTGACAGGCCGTTCATAAAGTAAACATTATTTGAATAACATATATGAAGAGAACAGTATAAAAAAGTATAAAAAAATGTACATAGCAAAAGTGAGAAGCATGCAATATGTTTGGAATGACAGTAATAGAGTAATTCGCATTCTCGATATAATTCAATGCAAAATTGCAAAAGTTTCAAGTAATACATCTCAAAATCTATATGTGACTTTCACTTGTACAGATGACTCTCAGGACTCCATCCTATGTAACACAAGTATATAAGAATCAAAGCAACCAGTAAGATGTAACCCATTATATAAATAATTATCAGATATACTTACATTCTTGGTCACAGTCAACTTTGGCCATTACTACTTTTCCTGGTTGTGGAAATTCTTCTCTGATCTTATCCGCAGCTTTATCAAATAACGGGGCTAATAAGTTACTGAAGCGACACCATTGTGCGTAAAAGTTGATAAATACCAGTTCATTCTTTGCTGCAAAGGTCACAGGTCAAAGTAAAACATGATAATAGATGTTGTATTTGCCTGTGACTAGTAACTCTCTGTAACATGTTGTCATACGTTCTGAATAGCTTACCTAATGTTACATCGATATTCTTATGAGTGAGTGAAACTGCACCTTCTTCTCCTATACAATTTGGCAAATGTATCTAGACACACATAATACTTTTGCTTCATTATAATCTAATTTAAATGAAATATAATAATTTCAAATAATTCTGTACTTTAGAAAGATACGTAACGTTCTGATATACAAAAACCTTGAATTGACCATATGATATGGCATGTGTTGATTGACATCAGCTATATAGATAAAATATGTGTGTGTATATATGAATTTGCGCGTTTGTACGAATTTGTGTTAGTTATTATTCCCTTTTTTGTTTTTCTTCCTCTTCTATACCAATTTCTCTATTAGTCCAATATCTGACATGTTTGTGATCAATGTTGAACCAACTTTGATCTATCTTTGTCGTATCATATGGAGGCCACTGTATTCTAGTCATTAATCTATACGTGTCTTTCTCTTCTCCTCTCATTGAAGATAAGTAGCAATATGCTAAATATTAACATTTTTGAAAATACCAAATATATTTGCGCGAAGCTACATCGCTTATCAATACCAAAGTCTGTGAAGTCTCTTAGTATAGCATCATATATATAACGCAGATTACACGAGATATATTAGCATTCACCTTTTATCAGCACGTACCTAAATTCTCAGTCTCTTCTCGTGTTTCCGTATGTGAGGTTATTACGGTATAACAGTATAGGTTATGCTTGCGTGTAGAAAACACGTAGTATGACGGGAAAAGGATGTTTAGAAAAAAAAGAAAAGAATATCGAGTGACTTCAGTCATGCAAAAACGATTATAAATTAGATTCATGATTACGACAATTATGATTTTGACCATTGACACAATTTTTACTAGTCTATACGCAATTTGATAAAATGACGAGGAAGCAGTTGCACGATGTTACTCACCATCAGACATGCGAGCATAAGTACTTTAAAATCAAAAATATCACAGGGAGCCAGCATTTTGTGACCTCACGGACAACTAAACCAACAGTACGATCAGCTTTTGAATCACCATCAGTGAGCGCCCGCACTACGTGCTAAGTGTCAACCAGTGTCAACTTTTACGAGGTGTAGTCGCAACATATTGGATAATCGAGTGTGCATTCACTTTCGAGACATCGATTAGATTCGATCTACAATAGGGATGGGCGATACAGTAGAAAGTATCGATATTTTGTATCGAAACGTATCGTAAATAAAAGTATCGATATATAAAAAATATTAGGTGGAATATATCGATATCATCTAATCTTTTTCAACATACGCGATATAAACAACCAATCAGAGTAATGGCGTTGGGGCAAAATTCTTAGAGAAGCCTGGAGCCAAAGATTGAAGTTGAATACCGCAATATAATTATAAATAACATTAATTTTATTTATGTATGAGTTGATATATTGGTGTTTAACATATGATTACATACAATGTTACGTACCTATAGTGTAACGTTATTATATTGTAACACTTTTTTTTCTAATTTATATTGTAACATGTGAGGAAGTTTTCAATTTGTAAAAATACGTTACTATTTCCTTTCTTATTAAATAAAATTCAACCAATGAAAAGTCAGTAGGAAGATCAAAGACCATATATTTATTTCCTTTTTCTAGATCTGTTAATATAAAAGATCAAAGACATTTTGTGCATTTTCGTCCAATAGAATATCAATCTATTTTGGTTGCTTTCCAACAAGAGACACAAGTCGACACAAACATCATTCTATCTTTGTTCCACATTTAGGCTGCGTTCGGAAACACACACTGTGTGCACACTACTAGACGATAGCCGTTGGAGTGAGCGAAACAAGAGTGAGATAAAAAAAAGAGGGAGAGTACTCGAGTGACGTTTTCGAACGCGGCGAGTAACAAAGATAGGATAATACTTGTGTCTCTTGTTGGAAAGCAACCTTTATTGACTCCTGCACACAGGACGCGGTAATGCTTGCCGTGCAGCGGAAGTCCGCGCGACAGCCAATCAATATGTTGTTTTTCCGTAAGAGCTAGAAGGTTGTTACAAAAAGCAGTATATTGATTGGCTGTCGCGCGACTTCCGCCGCGCGGCAAGCATTACCGCGTCCTGTATGCAGGAGCCATAATTGTCGTAATCACCCAGTAATTCCGTATCCATTCCGTTCCACTGTTTGATAGGTAGATTTCACATGGCACGGACTGACATCGAAAGTTTGTCTTTCGTAATCAATAATACAAAAAAAAAACCCGGAATACGAACTTTCACATAAATACGAATTATTTATCTGAATTCGCTGTTAAATTTTCAAAACTCAAAATGGCGGACACAATATGGCGAACTGAAAAATTTTCTATTTTCATAAAAATTAAATTGTTGATTTACACATTTTTTAATTATACCAGATTAAATATTTGCATCAACAATAGTAATTAGTTTTTATTGGCCTTCTTTCTCTATGATTAATATTTCTGTAATTGATATATATCTGATATTATTAGTAATTAGTAGCAGTAGACTTAGCAGAAAAACATTCTTTATTTATCTTTTTCTACTAATTGTAATCGCAAAAGTAATGTTTCACTACTTCTACATCCTTCTTTTTTTTTTTATTGCATTTCCTCAATTATCGAGTAAATGAACTTACCTAAAATTTCTTTAGATGTAATTTATTTGGATGTAATTTGTTTTCTGTTAGTATTTTTCTATAAAGATCTTCTAGAATAAAAGCAACTTTTTGTATTCTAATATATCTTACTGTCATACTGTAGTAGTAACTTCCAGCTCATTATCATCATAAAATGTCTTTAACGCCAGTACATTTTTTTTTAAATTTATTAAGGACATTTCTATATTGTGTAAAGTAATTTCTTCTTTTCCCATTTCTCCATCCGCTAATGCTAATAAGATTTGTGAACGAGTTGGTGCCATACGCGATAAAAACTATAATAATGTTAACATTTAGACAACAGTACTACTTTATTTCTATTTCTATATATCACAATTCAACTGCATATTATATATTGATATTAAAGGAAACTTGTACTTACACCAAATAATTGTTGTGCCATCCAACCATGATATGGTTCTAAGGTTTCATGATATGCTTCTTTTAAAAATGCAACTAAATCTTCTGTTGCTTTCCCTGCTTTATGGTCATCCACAATTTTTTCAAAGAACAATAAAATCATATGTAAGGCCCTAAGAAATATTGACAAGTCTTATCACAACCAACAACTATATAGCAGCATAAACACAACACATATATGTACATGATAGAAGACAATATATTGTATGCTTAAATACCTCCTCAACCACATCAAAGCATCAACTGCAATAAGATCTTTCTCAGTAGATTTTTCAAGTAAAACCATGTCTTGTAGAGTTGAATTATTATTTTTATCCATAGAATATCTGATTGTAAGTTTCTGTAATTAAAACAAGAACGTATGTGTGCAAAATAATCTAATTATATATAAAATAACATATATATGTTCAATTCTGCAGCAATCTATTTTAATAATGATTCTATAGTTAGTATTTACTTACTTCGATATTACCTTGCATATCGTATCGTACAGGTGCGAATAATTTGCCTAATTTATCTAAAACACAGATTGGTTCCTCATACTTGTGAATTGTAACAAAATTAAAACCAAATGTTTGAACATTCAGTAACGATTATCTTTGAGTTTTTAAACAATTTGAGGTTAAAATCGAGAATAAATACATACGAACTATCTGTACAACATCGCGTGCGGCTTGTAAAAACTCTTCTGTATTTATTTTGCCGTCAATTATTTCAGGAAATTGCATTTTGTTGTCGGATTCTATTCCGCGGAAACTTCTTGCATAGTCGAATCAAAGGATGTCAGGTTTTATTACTTGAAGTGCGAATTAGATTAGACTCTAGAATAGCGAAACATACGTTACGACGTTGTCATTTTTAGTTTTAGTACTTTTTTAAACGTCTTGTATGACTTAAGTCAGAGAGAAGTCTGAGGAGCGGCTATCAGCCGATAGCATATATACTAAACTGCGCGGTCTGTGCAAAGGAGTGAAGGCAACACGGAAGGACAGATATATGCGTTCAGTAAGACGTTCCTTGTCTAATTGTATAGTTGGTGCGGAGAAGGAGAGAAGTGACACACGTGTCTATTAAAAACCATATAATTCCATTTAAAAAATTATAGTTGACCTTAACAAGATTTTTCGAGGTCATTTCCAGATAAAAAATACTATCTTTTTCTCCGCCTTGATATCCTATATCTTTTGTTAGAAACATTTTTTTGAAAATGCGTTATTTTCGAAATATTAACGCGAAAATCGTAATTTTATTGTTACGTAGAGTATAGCAAAATAGTATGAAACAGGTGTGATAACACCTTCTTATATGTATCTTATGTTCAATTGAGGAACATATATTTACGAAATATAATATTATATTAATATATATTACGAAATATAATATTATATTAATATATATTACGAAATATAATATTATATTAATATATATTACGAAATATATTATCTAACCTAAAATTTCCTTTTTTTTTTAATTTTCAATTATTTATAAATACGTTTTCAAGCAACAAAATATTTAAGTCACTAATAAAATAATATAATAAACTAATTCTATTACTATTTAGATAGCACAGGTGTTTAAAATACGTCTGAGATCTTAGAAAGATCTAAAACAAATATTTCAATTTTCGATTTGCCCCACCTAGCTTCATTACTCGGTGTACAACCCACGAGCTGCTCGAGACTCAGGAGCGTGTGACTTGTAAATATATATATATATATAACAGTAGAAGCTATTAAAAACATGTTTACAAATTATACACCCCTGAGCCTCGAGCAGTTTGTAGATAGCGCGCAAGGCGATGAGGTAAAAGGAGGGAGCTAGGTAGAGCAAAGTCGAAAAAATCGCTCGAACCGTGTAACGCTGAGCTTTGCTCTAAAATGTCTTTTACACATTTAGGGATTACATTAGTAATTAAAATAGAAAAAAATATATATATTCAAAAAAGTATCTAAGAAATACGAAGATGTATAATTTTACTATATAAGATATATATATATATATATATATATATATATATATATATATATATATATATATATATATATATATATATATATATATATATATATATATATATATATATATATATATATATATATATATATATATATATATATATATATATATATATATATATATATATATATATATATATATATATATATATATATATATATATATATATATATATATATACATATATATATACACACATACACTACGATTAATGATAAATTTCTCACTAGACTCATTACTCTATACGCCACAAATAAATAAAAATTTAATTGTAATTACTATAAACACAAGTATATCACAACTATATCCTTGTTTAACGCTACCCGCATGATACAAATTGACTTTCATAAAATCTTGTTATAAGATAAAAAACACTACCGTACTGTACTCCACTATATTAGTATTGTATTATATTAAGTCATTTCAGACTTATATATATATAACACAATTTATAGATGTTTTTTAAATACGCTGTAGTGAACGTGTTAATTACTGCCAAATATGCTGCCGAGCATGACTGAAAGACCAATTGTCACATTAACGCTCATTGTTTCCAGCTTTTCTCGTTCAGTTAGCCAAAGATGTACCACTAACGTGATGATGGCAAAAGTTTCTTCCAGGCGAGGCGATCTTTCGACATTGTTTACCAGCCCTCGTTGTTGCCAAACAAGTGAATATCCTCGGCGATGTGAACGATGGGGTAATACTGCATCACACAAATACTTTATTAGTTATACGATAAATTGCAACGGCTCTTTTATCGATTTCCCATACCTTTTGGACTGCAATGTATCCATTTTACGTAGACGACGTCTCAATTCGTATGCGTCTACTAAGTCACTAATGTCGTCATCATTGTTGCTTTCGTCATCGTCGCCACGGTTATTGTTACTAGCATTATCGTATTGCGATGCGTTTATCGGTTTGAAATAATCATTATTTATAATATCGTCCGATATCATACTTGGAAATTCCTGGCTGTTCAAATAGTTGTGAACGACATCTTCGTGCATTTTTTTCGACGACCGATACGAACAAGAGAGTTCTTCGTGTGCATTCGAATTTTGCCGACTCCACGAAACTACCGATTGCATCAAAATATTGATTTCTTCTGAAAATATGATGAAAATCACAGTTAGTTCTCTTACGTTATTGTTTAATAATAAATAATAAATATCAAATAATATTAAATCGAGAACTTACTTGCGCAGTATTTTACTTTAGAAATAATGAGATTATAAAGTTCTCGAATTTTCTTTATTAATCTAGTGTGCAGTGGCGCCTTTGGAATAGAATTGGAATATGACGACGACGTATATTTGTGTGCATCTCCATTCGAATGTTCGTTCTGATAAGTCATATTGGTCAATTTAGTCTTCAATATGCTTGGTCCAAAAGTACGTTGTATTGCCAGCATTACAAAATGCACTACGTTAAAGAGAAATCGTTAAATTATATATAAGTTTATGTATTATGTGCGAATGACTCTATTTTATGTTACAGCATGATTCCGCTATCCTATATTTAAGAAATATTACTAATATATATTATCTAGTATATTATATACTAAGAAATATTATATAATAATTTACAAAAAAATCTTCCATTTATTTACTTAAAGATGTAGTGCAATATTTTATGTAATGTTCTTCAGCTTATTAATGATGTGTTAATACTGATCATTACATTAATAGTGCGTTAAGCTTAAGAGGATACTGGATATCGATATAATGTATTTTCATAGTTTGCACTGTTTTACTATTTGATTGCATAGAATTGCAAATGATTTTGCAGAGTGAAAGTACAAATGTCAATGTATGAAGACATTAAATATTATAAAAAATTTAGGAAATTAAAAAAATGATCTTGACTTTAACACAATATGAAAAAAAAATGCCAGAATCCAGTATCCATCTAATGAATATAAATTATTCCGTAAAAGAAATATTGATTAAAAAACGGTTGAATAATGGTCTATATATAATTATGTTTTTACTATAAATTGATAAATAATTTACAACTATGATTACTGGGCTAAGCATAAGATTGGATTCATATATATAACTTACTTCCGGTGATTAAAAATATTAACACTGTTATAGATGTAAAATCCAAAGTAGTCTCCATGCCATGTTTCAAGTAAGTTATGAGATTCACTGGCACGATGCCCATGATAGTAGCTCTGGTCAAAAATGGTGCTTGTAAAAACGAAGCGACTATCATCGCCACTAATATATAAATGACGTGTAAAACCGTGCGATACACTTTTTGCACTTGTTCACCTGGAAGCGGAAAATCGCGTAGTATTAGACGCGATCGTCGAGACATATTTAAAATTTATATATCGAATATATATATTCGATATATCGAAATTTATATATCGAATATATACATCGTAGAATAATACGCTCACCAGTGTCGCCGATATAATCAGTGATCCATCCTAATTTCTGATCTATTTCCCTACGCATCGTGTCAGTGAGATTCCAGATATACTGAATGGTATCATTGATTTGCGCGAGCTTGTGCAACGTTTGCTCGTATTGCGCGATTGTCTCCTCGTGTCTATCCAATATATGATTAGTGCTTCTTTCAATTTTCTCCCAGATTGATTGTGCTTGTTCCTGTATGTACACCAAGTCTTGCAGGATCTCTTTGTGATTTGCTCCCTGCTTGATAGACTGTTGTTCGAGATCCTCTTGTGCCTTCGCTGAAAAATACAATAAAGTAAATACAATTAAGTAAATTCAGAGATTTTTGTAAAGGAATCTTGGTACTAGAGAAAAAAAATATTACCTAATTTATTTCTTATGTCTTCTGTCATGGCTGTGAGCTGAGCATGTCCAGATCGTATCAATGCTTTTTCATCATTCAATTCTCTTAGATTCGTTGTTACAAGATTGTGAGCTGTGATCTGTGCATCCTTTAGATATTGCTGTTGCTCCAAGAGTGCTTTGTTTCCTGTAGATAATGATGATAGGGCCTCTGCTGTTTGTTCTTCTAAACGATCTTGACCTTCCTGTTTATATAATTTATAAAATCTTGTGATATAAAAGTAAAACAATGATTTATATTATAAAAACAATAATAGAAATAAGAATAGTAATAACTACCTTCAAAGAGCTTAGCGTTTTAATGTGTGAGTGTGCGGACTGCATCAACTTGTTGACTGTCAATTCTGTAAGAGCTCTAAATTGTGTACTTCGAGCTGCGTAACAAACTGCTCTCGCTCTATTACTCATTAAATGATAAGTATTCCACATATCAGCATCCATATCAGTTGTACACTGCTTAAGGGACTAAAAAAATGCAATTTTTACTTTTATACTTACATAATAAGAAATATGCTGTAATTATTTGCTGATATTTTGCCAAGAATGCACTTTTTTCTAGCATTAATTACTCAGCTATTATATTTGTTATTTTTAATATTTTAAGATTATGATTGTGTGATTAATTTTATATAATGTTAATATGATTGATATACAACACACAAGCACCAATGCAATATATATGGCTGAACTATAGGATTGAAACCCTAAGCTTTGGGGAGGTCTTCAGGATTGAAGAGTGGGGGAAGTGTGCAGGTTTTAACATGCTTGGAATCTACCCTCTCAATTTATGAAAGGTTCAGATAGTCTGCAGTGGTATATGTAGTTCTATTACTAATATAAAGATAAATATCACTCAATTTTTATATATTAGCAATATTTCTGTAAAATAAATCTGAGTAATATATTAAGCTATATAATGAAAAGCACAAAATGACAAAGTGTATCAAACAAAATAATTAAACAAAATGATTTTTTTTTATTAGACAAGATCAATAAAATGTGGTTGATTGAGAGATTGATAAAATATAATTTAGATGATCTTTGCATGGAATATAAAGTTTATTCTAGAAAATACCATTTCTTCTGTACAGGGAAACATCTTTCTGCCTTCTACTGCAGACTGACAATTGAGAAGGTTGACACTGAGCTTAGCTAATTGCTCTTCTGTCATATCAGTACAGGATGTCCTTATTTTCATCACCACTTTGTGTTGACAAGTTTCGAGTGGAGAAGATACTTGAATATCTGTGAACTTGGCAGCCTCTTGGAGAAACTTCTCATCCTCTGTCATCGACTCGTAAGGAATTGAAACCAAAGGCACACCATCTGCCACTAAGACAGTTGTGTCATCCGTCTTTGCTTGCCATATCCAATCCAATACAGATGTATTCCCAAGTTCACAATTAAATGATACAATGAATATCAACAACAGAAGTTTGAAGTACATTTTAACATAAATTATACTCAATTAACTTGTATTTAATTAACTTGCTGCCTGAAAGAATATTTTAAAGTAATTTTTAAACAAAATTTGTAGTCCTATAATTATCATTGATGTAAATATTTTAAAATCTATAAAAATTACTTAGCACCAAACAACAAAATAAAGCTGATAAATTTTGTATACACACACACATACACTTTTTGATGACAGCGTCGAGTCTTTTAAAAGTGACGTTACAAAACCGCTCGTACCACTAAAAAAATCTACTAAAAATAGATAATGCGTCTTTCAACTGTACAAGTCACTTCGTGACTTTTCTATTATTCTCGTATCGCAATTTCACACGCTAAACAAATGTTGGACATAAGTTTATCCCATGATTTTCGACAACCTTGCAAAGAAAACCAGTGGTTTCCGTCACGTCATCGCAGATTTTGCGTGAGCAACGAAAATAACCACCTACTCGATTCAAACGTGACAAGTGTTTATTTCACTCATGTTTGGCTTATGCGTCGGTAACGGTTAAGTCTATTACATATGGCCGACTCGATCTTGCCGCGAAATACGTTACTTATGTAATTGTATTCTAAAATTCGACGACTCGCTATAGTATTTCTTTCTTTCCATTTTTCATTATTTATTACGCAAATATATATTCTATATGATTATGAAAGAATTCAAGAAATGTGAAAATTTTATTTTTGTAAATTCAAAATTTGATTAAATCAAATTTGTAATAAACTTGAAACAATGCAGGAGCCAATCACAAAAATGAATGCCTTTCATATGACCACTAGAATTTTAAATGCGACCAATCAGCACAGGTTATGAATGCCGGTTTAAATTGATAAGTTCATATCGTAAAATACGTTTACTTTCGTTTGTGAAAGTTTCATATAGAATTTATGATATAAAATAGCTACTGCCTTTCTTTCCTGATTATTGTTTCTTGTAACATCTAATGCCTGTCGGAACGCAATCAATAGTCCAATCAGGAGAACTCGTCTCGAAAAACAAATCCTCTGATTGGCCCATCGATTGCGTTCCGACGTCCGACAGCGGCATACGACGTATTGTAGAACGGGCCTTAAGATCTCCATAAGTTCATCTTCAGATGCTCTACGGATCATTTTATTAGATACAGAGCATCTGAACATTAAAGTTTGAATTTGACATTAAAGTTTGTATTACTCACTTTTTTTTATACTTTTACAGATTACATTAGATACTACATAAAATTACATTAGATAATGGCTCTTGCCAATATTGCCAAATAAGGCACACATTTTTCTATGAAATTTATGTATATTTTTTAAATATCGTCTATTCGCATTGTGATGAAACAAAGTAAAAACAATAGTCACCTATTTCTGTTTTATTTTTATAACTTTTCTTTCCATAGAGAACGTGTTCTTAAGTTTATCATTATTAAATAAGTTATGACTTTTAACGCAATTTAACAGTCAGTTACAAAACAATACGAGTCTTTTGTATTATGTAATAATAAATCTGTTCAGATATAAACAAATTCATATATACATTAAGATATCATATACATATTTTATATCATAGTTCCCTTTATTTCTTCTCTGGCATAACTTCACTGATACCATACATCCCAGCTAATAAACGCCCATGGGAGGTAGGTACTGGTTCCTTAGGTACTAAATATGGTCCTTTCTCACCCATATATACATAACTGCGCAACTTATAAGGAAAAACTTAATTTGTTTGTTGCACTTAAGAAACAGAAAAAAAAGCCGACTAAATTTCTACAGACAATATTGTTGTTCTTCTGTAAGAAGATTCAAGAATATGGAGGACTTAGAACAGTTAATGGGTTGAGATGTGAACTAATGAAAGATTCATACTATGTTTGATGTCTGACATTCTGTCCGCCAGAAGAATAAACTTCTTAAAAGAAAGATTTGAAGATATATATTTATACAAGATTAAAAAAGTTTATCACAGATATTGTATTATAGTTTTTTTTCGTTTCTTCTGACAGAATTTGTTTTTTAGAAATTTTAGTTATATATCTTTATAAAAGAAATTCTTCCAGATATCGGATCGTCAAAAACAACATAAATACACGATATGCAATAATAAATACACGAGTGTTAACGGTTTCGAAGATGTAGACAAAAAGGATACGGTAATCTCAAGATCCAGTATGCACTCTGTGAAAGTTTGATCGGTTCCTCACATCCAGTGACGAATATTGGGCAAGGTGGTGGACCAGGTTGTACTCGGGGGTTCAATGTAACGTGTACCGGCGCTTTGGGCGTTACAACGTGGATTCTCATTAACTGCGCGATTAATGGTTTAGTCGACCTGAAAAAAAGAAGAAAAAAAGATATATCAATACATAAGTTTACACGAACCATTCTATTCAATGTATAACGTAAATTCAACGAACCTGCATGGACATGGGAAGTAAAGCGGCATGTCCGCCGTACTGGACGTTACCTTGTTTCCACTGTCTTTCACGATTCCGCTTCCGGTCGCTTTCAGTACTTTATCGGGCGCAGACGCCATGAATCTATGCCCGCGTGGACATTCATATTCCACACCAACAAATATCTTAACAACAAATTCTTTGCCACCTTTCGATTTCCGACCACGAATAGGATTCGCGTTCTGGAAATTCTTACCTCGCGGACAATACCCGCCATGAGCGCCGTGGTCGTTTATCGTAGGCCATAACGAACTTCGTTCTTTTTGATGTTCTAATCTGCAATGAATATATTTGTCGCTCTTCTTTTTCCTTTTTCGTCAAAATATGACACTTTATCTTACCTTACTGTTACGTCCCACGGTAACAGAAACGCAGATGTAGGCAATACACCAGTCTGATGCTGCAGTCCTAAATTGTGGGAATAAAGACTACTTGGTCCGAGGCATACTAATGACCAGCTGGAAAATTGCGGCAATAAACCAGCCGGCGATTCGGTGTGTAACATTCCAGGTAGATATTCCGTCGTCGATGGTTGCCTGACTAACGACTTTTCTACACAACGTACATGTATTTATAATTTGTACTCTTCTCGTTGAATAGTTGCGCATTAACAACCTGGGAAAATAAAGTTAGATACCTTTCGAATTCTCGGCATCGCTATCAGTAACTTCTATAACAACTTTGTGTGCATCGCTGGGCGTAAGACTAGTCTTACTGCTTAATCTGGGGATATCCTCTTCGATCGGGTCGCTTGTAACTGGTGACTGGCCGCCACTACCGTAATCAGTGATTTCACCTGTAATATTCCCGGTAAGATTAATAGTTTGTTCATTGATAAGAAATAAATAGTTTGGTTACCGATAGATAAATTAAGCAAATGAATTTCAATTCTCAACAAGAGAATTTTACGTTTTATTCTGTGCTGTTACTTGCCGTTCAAACTGTCGCCTCCTAAGCTGCAAGCTTGTGTATGTCCCTGGGGAGTAGAAGATCCAGTGCGACTAAAAGAATCGTGGCGTTTCGTTGCTGAAAATAATTGTGCAGCTCTGTATAAGAAAAAAAATATATTAGTTACATTAGTTATGCCGAGAGAAAGGGGAGGAAGGAAGAGAGAGGGGAATAAAGATCTCTATTACGAAAACAAAGTATTTTCGAAAAAAAATTTTCAAATAACGTATTGCGATTGTCGTTCCATGGTTCACTAACTTAATTGATTGAATGTGAAAGATTGTGAAGCGCCAACAGTTATTTGCCGATGCTGTGAATAAAGTAGTCGAATATCTTATTCGTCATGTGACGAGGCATTTGAAACCTCGTCACTACGGCCCGACCAACCATCCGTCGGACCGTCCTACAAGGCGCGAAGCGCCAAATAAACTCTAATTACATCGCCGGCTTGCGATCGCGCCGAGTGGGGGACGGCGTACGTGCGAAATCCGCGAGTCGGCGGGTATATAAGCCGCGCGCGACAACGATTAGAGACGATCCCACAGGCGTCCGTCGCTCAAGCAGCACGAACGCCTTCCAGAATCCGAGTCGGTGCGCTCATCGGCTATCCTAGATCCGCTTCGCCAAGGAAGGTGCGCTCATCCTCCCACGAAGTACTCTCCAAAACTCCGCTCCAGTGCTGGGATTCTGTAACTCGTTATTGGAGTTAACGACAGTTTCGTTATCGTTGCGCAGCTTTTGTATATCGTGAAAAGCTGCGCAACGATAACGAAACTGTCGTTAACTCCAATAACGAGTTACAAAATCCCAGCACAGGGGTCATGCGACATAGCGGTGGCCGCCTCTGCCAAGCAGCTTCTAGCTCCCGAACTCCTGGGGAACCGACCGACAGGGAAGGTGCGCTCATCCTCTCTCGAGGTCCGTTCCGAACTCCGAACCGCTCCAGGAGTTACAGAATATAAAGGTGGCTCACCACCTCTGCCAAGCAGCTCCTGACTCTCCGACACTCTGGATGGCCTCCGGCCGCGTCGCCACAACGTCGTGTCGTCCTGAGGCAACACACCGCTGCGACACCGCTCGCATACCGACCGCGAATCGCTCGGCGCTCCGTCACGACTGCGACCGCCTCGCCGCGACTCGCGCTTTGCGACCACCGATCTCCGCTAGCGATCTCTGACCGCCGCTCGTGTTAGCCATAAGTATAGAAGTAAGTTCGCGCTAGAGATAAGTCCGCGTTAGAAGCCCGGTAGCTGCAAGTTCATGTTAGGATAAGATTTAGATGTAAGTTCGCGTCCGCGATAATCGCGCCGCAATACCGAGCGCGTACACTGTACCACACGAACTAATAAATTGTTTTTATTACTTTACTCCACGACTCGCTTACTGACTCACTCACACACTCACACCCACCGAAATATACAGCGCCCACCTCTTACAAGAACTCTTGGACACCGGCGAGCTCATTCACCGCCGCGCGGTGTCATAATCTCTCGACCGACCGCGAAACGGTTGTCCGCCCGAAACCGGAAAACCATGACAATCATTTGACAAATTCATAAAACATATAGATATTCTACCTGAAATTGTGTGTACTTGGCTGAAATACAGGGAACTGTATGCTTTCCAATTGCGCGCAACCGCACTGCTTCGCCAACAGTTGGAAGTAATCGTAGTTTGCCTGTCTCAGGCTGAAAGGATCCTCCCTGGAGTTCTGGTATCTACCGCAATTGCAGGCGCATACGTATCTGACGCCACTGCAATGTTCTCGTACAGGTAATTCGCTGCGAATGAGAAGCACTAAGTGATCGATCGTAAACGTTTTACAAAGGACACGCGTGCCACATACCCATCGTCCTCTCTGGGCTCCGTCTGTTCTCCACCTCCCGCACCTTCACTGCCTCCTTTGTGAATGGGATTCGTGCAGGGATGGCCAGTGAGAGAAAGTACTTCGCACATCTGCCTGCCGGCACGCCAGTGCTTGTCGCATTCGGCTTGCAGTTTCTCACTAAACTCTTCAAACAATGGGCCACGGGCGTGCATCTCGAAAACCGCCATTGCGTGCGCCAACTTCGATTCATGGTACGCTCTGAAAGCGGTGTCAGTTAAGCGGACGCGACGTTCTCGAATCGCTCGATGTTTCGTCAAGTAGCTTTACCTCGTGTAATGCTGCGGCAAGTTCTCCTGATAAGTTTGCAAAGCTCTTGGAAGTACTTTGCTGCATCTACTCTTGCTGAACTTTACGTCGGTGTCCAACAGATTGTGAAGCGCCAACAGTTCTTTGTCGGTGCTATGGATAAAATAGTCGAAGACCTTATTTGCCACTTGGCAAAACACATTGAGAGTGGGTATCTGTGTAAATATAATAATTACGTAATATAAAATATAATAATAACGTAATTTATTTTTTTAATAAAACCGACAAAAATATGATTCGACTGCTCGCAGATATATTCTGTGATAATAGCCAAGCAAAATCAACGTGAGTATGCATTGTCCCGAAAAATCATAATACCGGATCAATACTTTGAAATACAATTTTCCCGAAGTATTTGATTGTTTCGAGGAAATACTATTACCTTGAAAATAACACACAGGTATATTAATATTTATCTATTTGTACACACTTGCTGTACTCAAATGAATAGATACAAAAGCACTCGGCTTTAAAACAAGAAATAATTCTAATATTTCGGTAAAATTGTTGTAACGATCGGCATAAGCAATCGTTACTAGCCGCATATAAGAAACGCATAAGACCGCGAATAAAGGAAATGAGAAAGGACGGCGCGTCCTCTCAAAGGTAAATAGAACGACCGCCGAACAACCACGATAAACAGCGAATCAAGCGTGATTCGCAATATACAGGGTGTTCGGAAAGTACCGGGACGCCCGAATATCAGGAAAAATATAAGTTTTACAAAAAAATGTTTCAGACAAAAGTTGTGGCGTTTAAAAAGATGTATTTACTGATCACATCAGTTTGACCTTGGGTTGCGTAGCGAAGGTCAGGTCAA